TAAAGAAAATTGGCCTAGTTTGTGTAATCTCTCCTTAAAATGTAACCCTTGGAGTCCAGGCATCATCCTTGCACACCTACACTGTACCATCCCTAAAGCCAAACAGCATAACATCTGTGTTCTTATATCTAGAGGACTGGCATGTAGAGGCCAACATTCTATCAGCCTTCTTGATTAGTCTCCGCTCCTGCATGTGGCATTTTAAACAACTATACACCTGAACTCACAACTCTCTTTGGACATCCACTGTATTTAACTCTATATCATCTAGTTTTATCCTTTCTCAGTCCAAAATGGATAATTCTCTTTCTATGCCTTCTTTTTGCAACCAGCCAATAACAGCACTTGGGACACTACTGCTGCACCACAAGAACATTCTCTTTCCCTTATAAACTGATCCATTTCTCCTGAGTTAAATCCATAGTATTCACCTCAATTCAGATGGAAAACACTTCAGATTTAATTTTTCTTAAAACTATTGTACAAGGAAAATACAAGGTAAGCAGAAAATCAAAGGACACTAGCATTTAAGAAATTGTTCAAACTATTTATTTCAAATAATCCAGCTCAAACATCAGTGTGTGCAGAGACAGTTCAGGAGAAGTCTCTTGAATCAAGCCAAGCTGGAGGCTGGAGTGGGAACAAAACTTTAAACAGTGGAGCGAGCCTCAGTAAAACACACAGGTGACCAACAACATGGCTATTCTCTCCAGCTAGCCACATTAAAAAGAGTGAAAACCTCAAGTAAACTTCACTTATTACATCTGTGACTTGTCATAAATATCTAGTTCTCTATACAAAGTTCAAGGTAGAACAGCGTTCATGCATAACTCTCCTCTGTGTGAAGGAGACAGTCAATTCCATACTGCGAGCACACCCTTCACACGTCTAGGGGATATAAATGGGTGCATTGAAATAGCCAAATCTGTGCAAGCCTTATTCAATCAGCAGTTGATTCTCACACAGCGAAAAATATTGGGAAGTTAATTAGCAATTAGAAGTGAATTCTCTGGTGTTTGATCTCATTAAAATGTGAACTTGAAAATAACTGCAAAACAAGCCTACATTGGAAAAATAAAGGAGTGCAAATGATATTTCAAAAATAAAAGTTGACAGTTGCTAAAAATAAAAAAAAACGAAGTTTATAAATCTACACTGGGTGCACGTTTAACTATTTATGTTGCAATGTGAATTTAATGCATTGAAAAATGAACTTAAAATCCATGGTTTATAAAAAAGAAAACAAATAATATAAGCAGCCCTACACAGCACACTGAAGAGCAGGGCTCCAAACATACCTCTTAATATCTCATTGTACACAATAATCATTTGGAAAAAGTAAACACACTTTTCATTGCTTCAAATACATTGGTGAACAAGGACATTTTCAAAACGCGAGACCCCAACAGAGAAATAATTATTAATTAAACAGTATAGACCTCTGAAAAATGAGCACAAGTAGATATCACCAGGACCCAACTGGGGCAAGCCTCTTATCCCATATTGCTATCAGATCATGATAGAACGTCAGTTGTCAGTGAGGAAAATGTTTGTTCCCAGGTCTGAATCAGCTCACGCTCCCAAACGGGAGGAGAACATGCAGAGAAGGGACAGGAGTCAAGGCAACAGGTTATCTGGGATTGTAAATAGATTTGACAACTGGAAATCCTTCTACACTGTTCAAAATTTGGAAATGGACCAAAGATTACACTTAAGAAAAATCAGACAGGTACACCATAAAAGAAGGCCATTTAACCCATCATGCCGTTGCCAGCTCTTTGGTACAGCTGCCCATTGAGTCCCACATCTCTGCGCTTTCCCAACAACCCCACCAATTTCTTCCCTTCAAGTAGTTAACCTTGAAAATACTCAAATATGCTCGGTCATGCAATAGATTTTAACACAATGGATTTTCAAAATGGCGTTAAATCATAGCATTAAATCAGCCAAAGAATAAATTCATTTTCTTCAAAAATATTTGTTTCCTCTGAATGCTGGTTTCCATGAGCCAAAAAGGGCTCTGTCCTTTACAAACTAAAACTTAGGACAAATACAACATCCACTCCCCCTCGCAATAAATAAATCACATTCTGGAGAAGAAGCCAAACAAATCTACACAAACAAAGCAGGCAAGATTCCTGGGCTCAAATATTATTCTAATTTGGATGAGCAAAATCTTTAAGCACAATACTGTTTATCACCTCAATCCCCACCGAAAAGAGTTAAAATGCTCAGAAAAAGAATTATACATGTTCCAGTTGAAACTGTATTAATCTAGCAGCTAAACTTTTAAAAATCTGCAAAGGACCATTGGGCAAGGAGGTAAGGATTTCGTGGTACAACACATCAATATTGCATACCAGCAAGTATTGCTCTTAAAAAAAAATGTACAGACCTGTGAACAGAAAGTATTGCCTGAGATATACACAGTCCTACAGACCTGCATGATTTAACATCAAGGGTGAGAGGCAAGATTGCTGAGAGGGGGCAACTCCAATCGTGAAAGTTAAAAGGAAAACAGAATTCTCCACCTCTTTCAGGAATTAATCTGTCACATTGCTTTTCAAGGTGTTATTTGAAATCCGAAGTTCATGAAAATACAAATATGTGTTTGCAACATCTTTCCTCTCCCTGCCACACCACCCCACTGTCAAAGACAAATTAACCAATATCTATAATCAGTCACAAAGAATTGCAATTTATAAATCTCAGAACCTTTTTTGAGAGTCAGACAGGGTAGCAAAGGTAGTGGAGGAGACTACAGACTTGCATTTCTGTAGCAAACTTTACAACTTCAAGACATCTCAAAAGCACTTTATTTTTTAAGTGTGAATCATTGTTTTATTGTCAAAAACACAGCAAGCTCCATAAATAGCAATGTGCTAATGGCTAGATGGTTTTTACAGTGATGCTGATTGAATAGTAAGCATTAGCCAGGATATGGGGATCAATTTTCCTCAGCCTCTTCAAAATCAACGTTGAGATCTTTTAGATCTGAGAGAGAGAAAATGGGTGCCAGCATGGTATCTTTTCAGAAAGTTCTGTACTGGACATCGTGCTGGAATGGGACTTCAATGTCACAACCTTCAGACAGTGGAGGGAGTGCTACCAACATGAGCCAGAACTGATACGCACATACACAGAGAGCTTGTAGTGGCTGGTGAAGCAGAGGAGTGGGTGAGGGGGGAGAAGGAAAAGAGAAACATTCCCACATCTGAACTAAAAGGTAGCCTGCAAAGCAACTTGAATCATGTCTAAATCTAAGATGGTGAACAACGTTAGTTCAGATGTTCAATAAATGACAGCAACCCTTTGTCAGCCCGTCCAAAAAAACTTTTTTTGTTCTACTGTCACATGAAAGTTTTAAAAAGTGGAAAATTCCAAATTAAAGAAGAAACCTGAAGGCAAATACACCAAGTTTTGTACCTGCATGAAAACATTTAAAATATTTCCAACTGCTGGAAGATACATCAAGATTCAAAGAGGTAAACACATTAAGCATGTTAAGCATTTTGTACTGTATTTAAAAAGCTAATTTGTGGTTTTGGTTAAAATTAGATGCTTTGTTAAAATAAACCTTTCCTACTGCCTGACATACTGTCAGTACTGAATTCACTTGACTGGAGCTATGCTATTGGTGAAATTTATCAGATAGTTGTCAAATTTTTGTCCAACAGTATGTGTCTTACAAAGTTTTTAAATTCTTCTACAGCCCTACAAAACTCTGAGGTCTCTGCACTCGTCCAGGCCCTCCTTCCTCTGCATTCATGATTTTCATCCAACCACTAGTGACAGCCATGTCTATAGATACAGGCTCTAAACTCAAGAATTTCCTATTAAAATTTCTTCTACCTCCTATAAGACACTCCTTAACATCTCTCTTTGACCAAGCCTTTAGTCACCAATACTAATATCTCTCTAGATAGCTCAGTGTGAAATTCGAATGTGCCTTAGGACACTATACTATTTTACATCATGATGTAAAGTGCTATATAAATGTAGGTTGTTGAATAAAAACTTAGATCGACTGAAGAGGCACCAGGATACAAATGTTCATATATCCTCTCCCTCAGTCAATCAACAGTAAACTAGGATTTAAAAAGGAAGGAAAAGCTGAATCACAATACTGATTGTCATATCAAGTGATTTTATATTGTGGCAGCAACTCAAGTGACTCCTCATCTTAAGGGAAATTAAGGAGGGGCAATCATAACGCCCACATTCCTGTAAAGGAATAAAACATCACTGGTTGTCCTCTCAACAGTTCTGCTTTTATTCACAGCAGCAGTGAAAATGGTCATTCCCATATTGTAGGTGGCAACAGATCACTTGGCATATGCTTTGAAATAGAGCAGTTCAATGCCTAACAACACGTCACTTTTCTTTGCAAAAGTCATAGCTACAGCCTACAAAGAAATGGAACAGCACTTTCAGGATTAGGGATTGGAGATTTCAATATTATGATATTGACGCCTTCAGTGTATTTGAAGTGCATTTAGGAAAAAGCCCCAGGACATTATATCTGCAAAATTTACCAATGAATGCAAGTGATGTGCAGTCATTCCCTGGAAAGACATTTCATGGCTTGGACACGGTTTGGGTCTACACATTGGAGGAGATTAATAAGAAAGCAGACAGTGGGGGCTACTTCATTACTCAAAGATCAGCAAAACAGAAATGGAAGTGCAAACAAAATTGTCAAACCCAGGAAACTGAAAATAAGCAATCAACTTAACAATTATCAAGCTGCTAAGAAACATAACACTGGAGTCTTAATGTTAATTCTGTTTCTCTCTCCACAGATCTAGCTGGACACTGTAGACTCAGACATCTAAAACACAGAAGGAAGCCACTGTGTCTGCACTGGTCAAAGATCTGACTGCGCTGGTCAAAGATCTGACCAATTTTCAAGATCTTCGTCCATAACCCTGGAGGCTATGACAACACAAATGACTAAATTTTAGGACTGTTTCTGACTCAACTATCCTTTTGTGCAGAGTGTTTCAGGCTCTCACCACCCTCTGAGCTAAAAAAGTTCTCACCTCTTGTCTTTGCCTGCTGAGTTTCTTCAACACTGTCTGTATTTCACATCATCAACACCTGCAGCACTTTGCTTTTATTTATAGAGCTTGTTTCTAAACTTTTGGAGGCCACTGAATCCGAACAGAACAAAAGTGTGTTAAAGAGTTAAATACATGCCCATGTAATATGCTGAACCAGGAAAAAGCTCCTAAAGCAACTCCACTGATCTGCATTATATTCCCTTCTGCATAGCTACGGTACAGAATTATTAAAAACTAATCTTGTTTTTGTCAAAAACACTACCAGAAGTTCTTTGTGCTCCAACACGCAAATATTGGTATGTGGTTGGAAAAGATGAGCAACATGTGATGAATTACATCTGAAGGAATATAAATGTATCACCCCTGCCAAAGTGTATTTGTGCCAACTTGCTAAATAGACTCAGCATCAATTCAAATTCTTTGGGAAAGATAACACTAAAGTAAGACCTGCTTTTGTATTTGTCCAAAACTCATGAACAAGTTTCTGGCACAAGCACTACTGAATCCAGCACCTCATCCCCATCATATCAGGTAAATGACAGGCCTTATTTCCTTGACTCCACAGTTTTGCTGTGGGATAAGGAAGTTGGATTCAACAGTTTAGGTTCCAATATACTGCAATCAAAAAAGAATTAAAATCAATATAAAATTAGAGGGGGCTGCAATGGCAATTGAGCATCAAAAAATTATAATTGGCAGATTTGAATTCTTTAGTGGAATTATAATATTACTTGCAAAATGTGGTATTTTTGTTCCAATAATCTTCAGATCTTTAAATCTTCAGCATGCCCAATACTTAACAATCTGCTCAAAAAGGCAGGAAGCAGTAAACATCCAGAATGGAGGACACCAAAGACTGATTAGAAAACCACTTCTCATTTCTTTTCAATTTAAGAGTTAACCTTCCCTTCAGTGTATGAGCTAGCAAAAAGCGAGATTAGGAATAGAATGTAAAATTACAGAAAAACTTGCAGGACAGTGGGGAGAGGGAAAGGAGAACGACCTGGATGACCCTTTCCAAGGGTCAGCACAGGTACAGTGAGCTGAATGGCCTCTGTACTATACAATTCTAGGAAAAGGATACTGAATGACAGAACATCAAACGCAATCATAAAAGAAAGCCTCAAATGAAAAATAGGTCAGTTCTTACTCCTCACAGACAAAACTGTCTCAACTTTTCATGCAATTTGATGAGCCTGGAATAATCTCCTGTTGCAGCTCCAACAATGATCCGCATTATACTCCCTTCTGCTTGGCTACAGTGCTGGATTATTAGAAATTTGCTAATCTGTCCTTGCTGAAAATGCCAGAGATTGTGAATACTCCAAAGGTACAGGCAAAACTCAACAGCTCTGATCAACAAATCTGACCACATCAAATTTGTGATGAGAAGTAGCTGCTGCTTAACGCAACAGTGTTCAATCTTGACCTCAGAGGATAATGAAGCCATCCATATGACATCTCACGCACTAAAATTCATTCTTGACCACTTAAGTCAGAAATAGTTACAAGGTGGTCTTGAGTACAACACTGTTAACCCTACTTAAAGTTCAGGGTCACGAATTTGATCAGGAGATATTCCCAGAAGTCTAACGTTACCTCAGTGGAAGAAATTCACTCACAGCCAGAAACTATTCAGAAACACAGGGATGGCAAGCAATGACCAGACAGTGAAGTTAAACATGTGCTCAGCTCACAAACACATTGCTTGGCAGGTCAACAAGAACAATACTCAAAGATTTTCCAAAATAAAAGTAAAGGGATGGTTGCTTTGCTTGAGGAAGATAAAGAACAAAAGATAGACAGGTGTACATTTGATTGTTTTTAAAAAGTCATTACTTATGAATATGCAGGCTGAAAGGGTGGTGAAAGCAGATTCAACATTAGCTTTCAAAAGGGTACAGAAAAATAATTGAGAATATAAACCAAAAAAACAAATGAAAACATTTACAAAACTTTGGTGAAGGAGTGGAGAGGGAGTAGGTCTAAATTGGATATCGCTAGCAACAGGCCAGCATAGATGCATCGAACAAATGACCTTCTATGATTCCATAGGTGCTTACATGATGGGCTAACATGCATCTCCAGGTCAGCATTATCACTTAGCCATTATTGTAAGTTTGTCTGTAAAAGTATCTGAAGATGAAAGGCTTGTGTTAATTTGTAGATTTCTAAACCAAAAGTAATAAATTCAGTTTGGAGAAAACAAACAGGCAATTTGATTCTTTTACAGAATATATAACATTATGTTCTAGTTAACGGGCAACAAAAGACAAAACACTGAAAGCCAATAATAGCTACTTAACTTAAATGTTCGCTTTTGGATGGTACGATTATAGAAGTCATCTGCAACCACTTAATAGCCACAAAGTAACAAGCTTTCAGCAGGGCTGCCAACCCTCCAGAACTGCTGTGGAGCCTCAAGAAGTTTAAGATTTATTTATGAGATGATGCTATCAGAAAACCAGACAGAAAAAAATCATTATCGCCTCAAAAAATGAAGGCTCCCTTTCCTCCGCCATTTTGGTAGAATATACAATTAGTAATTAGAATAAAGAATGAGAAAAGGTTTGACAGCTAATTATTGATTCAGAAATGAACAGTCTGTTTGCTTTCAAGTGGGTTGGGGGCCAGCAGTAAATATCTTGGTCAATGGTGGAGTTGGACAGTTGTAAGCACGAATGTGCGTGATGGAACCTTCAGGAGATGCTCAACACCATGTTGGCCAATGTAACTTTCAGTCAGAACCTTAGGCACTGTTACAAATTTGTTACTGAGAAACAGTTCCCCTACTTCAGTGCATAACCTGAAATTAAAATGGAAACAGGATGCAAAAGGGTCTTTAATGTATATAACTATGAGATTTATTCCATGTGAGCAGAGTCACTTGGAATAACATTAGGGATAAGAGGGCAGCAGCTACAAGGCAATAAAATCAATCATATGGCTTCAGTCACACTGCAAACCTTGAGCATGCACATTAACAAACTCAACATTAAATTGTCGTCAACCAGCTAGGTACACCACAGAATGGGAAAAAAAAACTCAACTAAATTGATGTTCTGTGCCTCTGGGGAAAGTGGGAAAAGGAAGAGCAAAGCCACAGGTCTGATTATTAAGCCACTGCACTTTCAATCTCTATTTCATCAGGAAGAAGAAAAATTATAATCAGAGTGAGAGCAATCAGCACCATGTAGCAGCTGATCCAATCTGTGGTGACACTGGCTATGGCACAAAGTACCAGCTCAGCATGCAGTTGGAGTATCACAGCCACCCAGGACTGGGAGCACGCTAATTTCTCAGGGCATTTGGCCAGAGGAAGAACTCAAAGAATAAAAACACCAGGAGCAAATTCAGCTCAGCGCAGGTGCGCAGTGTTCCTGTCACGGTGGGAGGGAAGGGAGGGGAGTTTGGGAAGGTTTCAGACAATAGCAAGCAAGTGGAATTAAATAACTTTCTTTTATATTATCAATAATGAACAATACAGTGGTTCTAATGCTGCAGAAAGCACAAGTATTTGAAAACATTACAGAAGTTATATCACCTGTTGCAACCTTTTGGAAATAAAAAAAGATACACATCATAAATAGCCCCCCAAAAAAGTATTCAGTCTAATCATTCCAGATCAGAGTGGAGTACTCGAGGTAGCATGACAAATTTGAAATGTATAAAAACTCATTTATTATATATCCTTAAGTGTAACCAGGGTCCCATCTCAACAATAGCAAGTATATAAACTAAACCATTACAAGATGGGAGTGGGGACAGAAGCTCAAATCACTTCCTTCTTTTTAAAAAAAAAAGTATAAAGCATTTAAAAAATAATTTTTGAAGATCAAATAACAAGGTCACAGAAAACTGCTCAGGGCAGGGGCAGGAGCCATACAAGTCAGGTACTTCATGTAACTTTTAAATCTTCACGAACCTCAATGCTTTGCAACGCAATGCAAGCCTGCTGTTATTCTATTCATAGCAGAGGTAGTAACAGCAGGCACTCATTTAACTATTACTTTCTCCTCTCTCCGACCCGTGACCAGAAATGCAGGAGACTTGTTCTACAAAAGGCATTAATAAGCACCCCTCAGTATACGGCACCTCATGTAGACTGATCACGTCCTTCAAACATTAACACCCCACCTCAAATCAAACCGAAAAAAATTGCTCCCACACAAAGCTGGCTATGTATGCGCATTAATGCAAGATACCAGAAAGCCAAATTATTCCCAAATGACTTATTTAGAAGCAGTGTGCGCTTTCCCAACAATCACCTAAGCAGAGTGCCCTAGTGCCAGTATGCACTATAATCAGGTTGTGCCACGAATGCCCCAAATAGTTTCTTCCAGTGAAAAGATACATAAAAGTCTGTGGGGAAGCTGAGGCTTCTGCAATTCTTCCAGTCCCTGTGAAAGCATTTGTAAAAGCCCAGGTTTCTTAAAACGTTTAAACAATCGCGTTTTTCAATGTTAGCACATATTATTTTCTCTTTCTTTAAAAAAAAGAAATACATTTTTTCTTCTAAAAATAAGTCTAACACTATTGCAGCTCATGAAGGTTATCACCCACGAGCATTGCTGACTATTCCAGCAAACAAAGAAGAAAATCAAAGGAACGGCAGATTAAAAAAAAACAAGGAAACTGAACAATATTTTGTCTTCTTCCCCAGCCACGCCTTTTTCAATGTGGCACCACAACCACAGGACTCCTTAGTCTGATGTGTCATGAAAATCCTTAAGCAGTGTTCTACGTCTCTGTTCTGCTATATGCATTTGATTCTCTAGATCCTGAAATGCAAAATAGAAGAAAAATGTTACTGTATAGGCAAACACTTTCAACAAATGCACAAAACTAAAAACTAAAATATGTGCTGAATTTTCTCCACCTGAGTCCTGTTGTTTCAAAAGGTACAATGCACTTTGAATTATAAGCTACCTATTTTATCCTTGGGTTTTTCCTAAAATCTGCTTTGGAATACAATCGGTTCTACTGGTAAAGACACAGGTCACTTTGCACACAAGATCCAACAAATCACAAATGAAATTAAGTGACCAATTAGTCTATTCTGATGAAACTAGCTGAGAAATTATTTTGGCCAGAATATTCTGATAACTCTCGTCCCATTATAAGTAGCTGATCAAACAGAGGATCAAACCTTAGACTTGGGATGGAACTTCGTGATGCAGAGACAAACTTGCTAAAGTGAATGGGGAAAAAGCCAGAAACATGCGATTATTTAATTTACCTGTGGGCTGAGCAGCAATGCAGACATCATGGGCTGAACCGGTGATCATCAGAAATGTTTATGTTTCAATGAAATGCAGCATATTTACAAAGCAATACGGTTGAATTAAAGTTAAGAATTTTGGGTTGTATCCCCACTTTAAACAGTTAATAAATATCTTATAGTTCTACTGGAAAATGATGGCGTAATAAGCCTTATTAGAGTGATGATATTGGGTTTATTACTATTCTGCTAGAGCAGAACAATTACTTCAAGAACTCTGCAAAGAAAATACAGTATCAAATATACAGCACAAATTTAACTCAAACCTACTTTCAGGGATTTAGGAGAGCTCGAAAGAAATCTGGAATATTGAATACCAGAAATCCTTTACCTACTCTTTTCTCATCTCATATACTATGAGAAAACTATATCTAAAGACTACCATTTCTAAGATTTACTTCAAGTACATTTGGGTACCATGCTACCCCGGTGCAGTGTCTAGAACTAGAGGTCACAGTCTCAGAGTAAGGGATAAACTATTAAGAACTGAAGAGAAATTTCTTCACTCAGGTGGGCGGTAAAACTTTGGAATTCTTTACCAGAGTTATGGACGCTTAGTCATTGAGTGTATTCAAGCTGAGACTGAAATCCTGGGACCCAAACGAAATCGAGGATTATTGGATAGGTCAACAAATTCGAATTGTACGGCCTGCTTTTGAACTGCAGATTCCACACTGGAAAATGATCAACTATAAACTTTTTGAGCAACAAAGCAGGCTTGAGACATCACTTCCGCCCTTACTGATTGAGCTTTCATACTCGTGTACAATATACACTCGATAAACATCACTTGATTTTTCTGGACAAGCCAGAGAAGATTACACTCCAAGATTCACAGATTTAATTTAGGGAATAAAATTACACTCTGAACTGTACAAAATGCAGATGGTCTACAATAGTCTTTGGATGTTACATTTTATTAATTCAAGTACACTTTTAAAATTTTTGAAGAGTCATACTGTGGCCCATCATTTACTTGAGGAAACACTTCATGGCTTATTTTGGCTCCAACATCAATACAGAATTTTTTGAAGTTATTTGTACTAGCCTGTTCTACTTTAACATCACATCAAGGTCCAGCAATTTCTGAACAAACTGCACTGCTGCCATGGTCAATGATACATTACATGTTTTTCCACGATTGAGTTCCCATGTTTAAATGTCAACTAATTATTGGTCTTTGCTGTACACATAGATCTTGCATTCAGCAGCACTTGGATAGAAGAATCCACTTCAGTAAACTGCTTACCCCTCGGTCGTAACTGTCTGCTCGCTCCACCTTCCAAGACAAGTTCTCAATCTCTGCTTCCAGCTGTGCTTGCTGGTACTCAAACTGGAAAGAATAATTAACTATGTTAGTGAAGATACTTGGAAAGTGCCATAACGAATCAAAACTGATTACTTTTCTTCGATTTACAGATTTCACGGAATCATCAAAATTTCACAGCACATAAAGAGGCCATTCGGCATGGCATGCACAAGCTGGATCTTTGTAAAAGTAGTCATGCTGAGACCAAATGTGACACCCTTGGTCCGTAATGCTGCAAGTTCCACATTCATAAGTACCCAAATAATATGCAAGACATTACATTTTGGTAAGACAAAGGAGAACAGGATTCACACAGTTAATGGTAGGATCCTGGGGACTGTTGTTGAACAGAGACCTAGGGGTTCACAAACACAGTTCTTTGAAAGTGGAGTCGCAGGTAGACAGGGCGGCAATGGCAGTATTTGGCATGCTCGCCTTCATTGGTCAGAATGTTGAGTATAAGAGTTGGGACATCATGTTGCGACTGTACAGGACATCAGTGAGGCCACTTTTGGAGTACTGCACAAATCTGATAGACCTGCTATAGGAGGGATGTTATTAAATTTGCAAGGGTGCAGAAAAGATTTACCAGGACCGGAGAGCTGTGAATTATCAAGACAGGCTGGAGCTATTTTCCCTCAAGTCTTGGAGGTTGAGGAGTGACCTTACAGAGGTTTATAAAACCAAAGGGGCATAGGTTAGGGGAATAGCGAAAGGTCTTTTCCCTGGGGTAGGGGAGTTCAAAACTAGAGGGCATAATTTTAAGGTTAGAGGAGAAAAATTTAAAAGGGACTGGAGGGGAAACTCTTTTTAATACGGAGAGTGGTGCATATATGGAATGAACCATCACAGGAAGTGGTAGATGCAGGGACAGTTACAACATTTAAAAGACATGTGGACTGGTACATGAATAGGAAGGGTTTAGAGGATTATGGGCCAAACACAGGCAAAAAGGACTAGTTTGGTTTGGGAAAACGGTCAGCATAGACAAATTGGACTGAAGGGTCTGTTTCCATAATGCATGACTCTGACTCTAATACTAATACCAGTTTTCAAGTGGAATAAACCAGGCCCTGAGAACTCTGGGAAAAAAAATCATTTCATCTCAATAACCCCTGTTATTGATTTTTTAAAAAAGTCCTCTGGTTAATGACACACTCCAAAGTGAATACCTTTCTCTGTCCCCAACCAAAATGCTTCCTAAATCACAACTATTCAATGAACCAAAAACAGGAATTGCTAAAAAATCTCAAGTGAGGCAGCACCTGTGGAGAAACTTCAGAGTTAATGTTTCGGGTTACTGGACCCAAAACATGAACTGATTTCTGTGCACAGATGCTGCTGAGATGTTCCAGCAATTTCTGTTTTTGTTACAGATTTTCAGCAACTGCAGTTCTTTACTCATAAGTGGAGACTGGGGTAATATCCTGCAATTGTCTCCCTTACAGCACTATGGCTGCACCTAGAAAATATGGACTGCAGCAGTTCAAGGAAGTAGCTCAGCTCATTACCACCAGCAAGTTAAGGGCAATTAAGGATGGGCAAGAAAAGTTGGTCTGTTCAGTGACGCTCTCATCCCAAAAACAATTTAACATCACCAACTCATATCTTTCCATTTGTTCATGGACAAGACAATTTAAAAATTTTGTAACATGACATTTTCCTAGCGCCTCACAAGTATGGAACATCTTGCAGTTGGGTCAGACTTCATTTGAAATGCTTGCCCCAGTTGGACCCGCCCTTGAACGAACAGTTTGGAAGCAGGCCTGAAATGGTTGGTCATTGATGGGTTAAGAAAGCCTTCTTTTAAACAGGCACCTTTATACAGACTCTGTGCTTGGAGTCATTTCCAACACACGTACATTTGGCATATTGAGTCCAAACCTAATCCTTGCAAAGCAATCTAGACAGTCCCATTCCTCAAGTTGATCCCCATCACCCTGCAACTACTTCCCTCATGCCTACCCTGTTTCCTTTTGATTATTTCTGCTTTCATCATCCTCACGGGGTGCAAGTTCCAGGTCATTCTCATTTGTTGTGTAAAATGTTCCTACTTGCATTTCCCTGCCTCTTTTGCCCAAAACCTCCCATCTGTTCCTACTAGTCCTTGTCAAACCAGCTAATGCAAACAACTTTACGTTAGAAATATGAAATATATAAAATTGTTACGTTTTGGGACTGCAATTTAGGGAAAAGTGAAGGAATGAATGATGGTCAGGCGATGAGCTCTAAATTCAGTGGCTTGGTTTCTGAAGGTTACAGAGGCCCAGGTTGTTTGACTATCAAAAAGTGCAAGATAATTAAACCTGTAGAAAATGGCAAGACCATCTGTCTTAGTTCTTGGTTGTGAACAGACAGGGAGGAGTTAGGGATAATTTAAACAATGTTTAAAGCTGTTGAAATAATTCCAAAATGGAATGGAAATGGAGTTCCACAGGATAGCCAGTTCATATTTTTACCTCCATACAAGGCCCATGAGATTCATGTTGTCATAAGCAGCAGCAACAGGAAATTGAAATATTGGGTTTCAGGTTTTGAGAGGGAAATCCAAGACGAGGAGAAATGGCTGTGTTTATTATAGAGAAGGAAAGGGCAAACTCTCATTTGGACTGCAGAGACCAGGCTCACGAGAATCTGAGTGAGGCTGAAAAATTCACCTAGCTTCGACTGGAGCAGTACTTTCCAAATCCTTTTTCTGCTAAGGCCCGACTTGGACATGATGAGAATCCAGCCGAATTTTGGAAAGGTTGCTATCAGATCAGAAATAATCTTCTCAAATGCTGCAGCAAGCGCAAGGGGCCAAATGGCCTATTCTAATTCATCTCTTATGTGCACGTTTACAAATTCCATGGTATCAACATTATACCCTCATTGGGCTGCTCTTTTCCTTGCATGTAATAAAATACACCGATCATTATATACTTAAATTGTAACAATATAGCCAGCAGAATAAGCCATCATAAAGAAACAACGCCCGTTGCCTTTCAAACAACAAATTCTCTACACACTGTCATGAACACTTCAGTAAAAGAGCACAGTGAATGTAGCACATCGCAGTAGGACCAGGAGCACAGTCATAGGACAAAAAAAGTGTGTTTTATCAGCTTTATAGGAGAAAATGACTTGAATGCAGCCTGACAATTGTATCGTAAAAAAACCAAGGTACTGCAGATGTTTGAAATCCGAAGTAGAAACAGAAAATACTGGCAGTACTCAGCAGATAAGGCACCAGAGACAGAGAGCGTGTTGACATTTTGACAAAAAGGTAATCGATCTGCAATTTGAACAGTTTTTCTCTTTCAGAGATGCTGTCTGACTGGCAGTGCATTTCTAGCCTTTTCTGATCATGTGAAAATATTAATTGGGAGAAGTATGTTAATGAACTTCTCACACCTTCTCGACCACTCTGAGATGAGGTCTGTTTGTGTATTGAATTCCAAATTCCCATTTACTCCCAACAACCTTCAAGTCCCTTGCCAAACAAAAATCTAACACTACCGAAAAAAAAAAATCGTCCACAACTTCAGCTGATGATGATACTGGACAAGTCAGATCCCAAAGCGGCACAGTGGCTCAGTGGTTAGTACTGCTGCCTCACAGCGCCAGGGACCCGGGTTCAATTCCACCCTCGGGTGACCGTCTGTGTGGAGTTTGCACATTCTCCCTCTGTCTGTGTGGGTTTCCTTTGGGTGCTCCGGTTTCCTCCCACAGTCCAAAGGTGTGCAGGCGAGGTGGATTGGCCATGCTAAATTGCCTGTAGTGTTCAGGGATGTGCAGATTAGGGGGATGGGTCTGTTGGGATGCTCTGTGGACTTGTTGGGCTGAAGGGCCTGTTTCCACCCTGTAGGGATTCTATGATATTTCTATGAAAGCGAAACCTGGCTCTATGGACACTACGTTTTGATTTTGCTATGGGTTACCATGATAGTCAGTCATTGAACGTGTGCACACAGGTTGTTGAAGCGCTTTTAACAAAAGAACAAAGTTTATAAGACAAAAGGAAA